GTTGTTTGACACAGTTGATGGACAACGTGGGTGGCCTGTGTCTCGCGCCAGTTAGTCTGGCGAGCTTAACGACCTTGAGTTCTTCACGGATTGAGGCCACGACCGGAAAGCCAGACATCGGGACATGCACCTGTTAGAGTACAAGGTCGCTACAAGTGTATCCTGCAGCTGATCGCTGTGTGCCTATCTGCCGGCAAGCCGACGTACGTTCTCAGAATTTTTTGAACAGTTATCTCCATCTTCCTCATTAGTATACCCCCAAAAAATATTTAACTCGAATATGTGAGCATGAATGGGAAGGTTGGAGAAGAAAGGTCCAACTGTTTTATCTTAAAAATTATATGGTTTAGTTTACTATCTATTGTTACCTCACAACCCTTTCAAACTCAGCGTTTCTTGAGACTCTTTGTGTGCCTTTGTCAGATAAACCATGAAACCGTATAACTATTCCGATGTCACGTTGCTGGGACCAGATAACTGTTCTATCAAGTACACTTGTCAGTTGTACTTCTGCCATCAACCACGATCCGACAAAGTGCGCTAAATATGCTGCCCAGTTAAATTTGTTTCAGATTACCATTTACGCATTTTGAAGTAATTTACATGTCCGATTTAACTTTTGAAGCACTCAGTTCTACAAATATGGCTGGCTTCATATCCCTGCAGAGGCTTCCGCCATCCCTTACTTCCATAATTGGTTTAGTAAAAATCAAAACTTTTGGTTTTTCCGCGAGTATTAACAAAGCCCGCTTTTTGGAATAGACCCAGGGCCGGAGGTATCGCTGTGATGGCTATTTTACTCATTCTGATTATGTTTCCGGATCCCAGACGTCACTGAGGAAATAAAAGCATTTTCTGACGCAATCCAGTCCTGTAGGCTGAGGAACAGTTATTCCGTAACGCAAAGTAGCTTGTATAAAAAGACAGATTATACTTTAGTGACTCAATTCCGCGTGCAACGCTCAACCTCCCGCCTCTGGTGACTGGTAGTACGTGTGCACCAAGGTTTGCTGACTTCAATTCAGTCTGGCCAATCACCTTCAAGGTTGATTCACACAGGACCTCACTGTGACGACTGCCGCGCTCTCACACTTCGGACGCGACCCTCTTGTGGGGGTCGTGCACTCGTCCGGCTTTCAGCTGTCTCCAACCTGTTCTCCACTACCTCTGTAAAGAATATATTATTCGTCGCAGCTGGCGTCCCAGTTCTTCTCTTCCCACACGGAGACAGACCTGAAGATCTTAGCGGCAAGGCTCTTCCCTATTTACTTAAGCCACTGCAATAAAACAAAAACTGACACCATTGGAAAAATTTTTGCTCATATTTGCATGCTACGCTCTTTCAGAATACGAGTTTCCTGATGCCTACTGTGACTTTCGGATCGGTTAGTTGCCCAGTTGCTATTTAGAGGTGATTTAGACAGTTCATAAATCTCACCAAAATATACATTCTACACTGAAATTTGATGTATACAAGACAATATCAAGCACTTGACGATAGTGCACAGTGGCACTAACAATTCTCCTATGACGGATACATTGATGGACTTTGCAAAAGTAGATAACAATTCAGTCGGCAAACGTCCTATAGAACCCTGAAAAGAGGCCAGTTGTGGAGTCACTCCGTCAAATAGTTCTTTTGATACGATGTGAAAGTTTACCTTAAGCGGGAAGCAATGTCACAAGAAGAAATATATAGGAGGACTGCTACGAGGTGCACACAACTGCTATTAAAAACGTAGAACTAACTGATAAGAAGACTTTTCGACCAAGGCTGGAAATAAAATCTCAGAGGGCTAGTAAGTATAATAGAAAACAAATGGACTGCGAAACTGTTTGAGTTGACCGTCTCCATCATTACGGAGAAAACTGTTCTAATAATTATGAATTAGCCGTTTATTTTGTTGCGAGAATAAGACCAAAAGGGCTCACTCGCAGCTCTAGGCATGTTAAAAGCCCAAATACCCCTTTCCTGCAGTGATTGCGACCACGGTCTGCCCACCTGCAAATAAGCGCCTACACAGCCCGCCGATGCGTGAGCCAATATGCGAATAGTAGGCGCAAACTACTAGACGCAACATCCATTGGCTGGCCATTATCTAACTGGCTACCCCATTGGCTACTAGGAGTGCAGCAAAGTTAAGTGTAACCAATGCGCTTTGTCGTAGCAACGGCTGCTACACGTGTCCCGGGCTGCTACTATTCTTCGTTTGCCCCTGTCCACTGGTGCGGAAATGGCGGCAGCTGACTCCTCTCCTCTGGAGTTGTCCTCAAAAGATTGTGAGAACGAAGATCACATATCAACAGCCGAGCGAAAGGTTCTCATTTCGGTAGATGGCAGTGAAGACAGTGCCCGCGCCTTCGAGTGGTACACCACCAACTTACTTCGTGAGAATGATGGCGTTGTTCTGGTCCATGTTGTGGAGCCAGTGAATGCCGGAGTTAACTATGGACTTGCCACGAAATCTACTATCCTCACAGACGACTTCTGCAAGCATATTACTGAGCTGGCCGACAACGGGAGAGCGTTAGGCAGGAAATATCTTGATCAATCCAAGGGTTTTGGAATACGGGCCCGATTCGTCTTGCACATAGGAGCCAAGCCAGGTGAGCATATTTGCCGTCTCTCCAAAGAACTGTCGATCGACGTCATTGTCATGGGAAGTCGTGGACTTGGCAAGATCCGGCGTACTTTTCTTGGCAGTGTTAGTGACTACGTTTTACATCATGCCATTACACCTGTAATTATTATTCCGCCTCAAAAGAAGGATGCATAACACACACTTTTAGCCCATCTTCTTTTCCGCCGGACAAGGCTACACCCAATACCTCTTTATTCTGGCTTACTGGACTTTAAATCACTATTCGAGCGTCCCCTCGTTTTAATTTTTTTCTGTAGTGCGCTTATTTACTATCCAATGCATTCCTCTATGTTCTGCCTGTTTTAACCCACTTTGATAGTTCAAGTAACTGTATAAATACTTGCTAAATTACGAAAGATTTTAGATAATTGTTCCTGCTCTATAATGAAAATTAAGTACATGATGAGTACTCAGTCATAAAACTACCTAACTGAAATGTATCTGGACGAAGATGAGCGGTAGCATTTAATTGAGCCATGCCTCTATCGGGTGTGGAAATCGTTATCTGCATCTCGGGTAACTTCTCAAGTATGTACGCATGTGCACACTCATGACCATGGTCTTCACTGGTTAGACTTATTTCGATACCTTTGGGCCAATTTTATTACAGTTTTCTTGTCTTTAATTACGTGTTTCAGCTTATCGAGACCAGCCTTCAAGGCAGTCGCCATTTTAAGTTTTCCTTTCATTCCTGCCCAACTTACTCTAGCGCAGCATCCAAGTTCTCTATTCCTACACATAGTACCCATTTGTGTTTCTTTTACGTTGTCTCGTGAAAAACTAGACCTGTAATTTTAATCAACCGTAGGATATGTGGTGCACGCTGTCTGTGTCTCGTCCATCACGATCATTCTACTCATTTCGTTTTTCTCAGTCGGCTAGGTCTTTAACCGTCATTATTCCCGTAAGTCACGTGGAGGGGGAAATTTTTGGATTATATAATTAAATATGGATGCTTCGGTTTGCCTCTGAACTTTAGTCTGGTCTCCTTGTAGGTAGTCACAACGAAGAACCACATAAAATCATAA